GCAATAATATGACATATACCGCAACATTTAAATTTATTGCTAATTTTGCTACATTTATGCAACAAATGTGAATTTGCAACATTCAAACAGCAAGAAGTTAAAATTTGTCACAATTTTATTGCAATTTCATATTTGCAACAATATACGAGCATATTGCAACAATATATCATTGTTGCAATAGAGCTATTTTCTTGTAGTGATACATTTATACTTTTTGGGTTAACTAATCATAAACCTTTTTGTTTAGAGTTGAGGAGTGGAGTTTTGGAGATAGAATTTTTTTTTTATAGAAAAAATTTAAATTTTCAAAATAAAAATGTTATTTTAGTCATTTTAGTTTTTAAGGTCTATTTTTATAATAAAAATTGAAAAATGCCTATTTGAGATAATTGCCCCAAAATATTTGTATATCACACATAAGTATAATGTATATTGTTGTAAGAAATAAATATATATTTTACTTTTAAAGCTGAATCTTATGTATTGATATATACATTAACATTACTATAAATGCACTAAAATAATCTTTTCCATAAAATTTGAAAAGAGTTGAAGAAATCCATAATAAATAGCAAAACCAAACTAATGATTTGAAAGAAAAAAAAATCCATATAGAGTCTGAAGAATATAGGGCTATAACATGGAGTAGTTCGCATGAGAATCTGTGTAGTTGACATTCTGATACTATTATACGACTAAACCTTATGTCGAACTTTTTAATTCTTAATCAAATCATACATGTAAAGTAAATTCCTAACCATGAAATATAGATTTCCATATGAGATTCGATCGTTGGAACTTGGATCAGTTGAATAACTTATATTCTAATTAGTGTTTTTTTTTTGGTGTTCGTGCATAACTTTTATAATAAAAAAAACTAGATCATCGTTCGCGTTTTGCAAATACGAGATATTTTATAATGAATATATTAATAATTTAATAGAAAAACTGTTAATTTTAATAATTTGGTCTATTTAATATATTTCTACATTTAAATGAGTACTTTTAAATTCAATCCGATTTATGGTTAAATCGATTAAATCGGTGATCCAAAAATTTGGTTAAAATTTTTAAAATATATTTATTTAAAATCAACAAAAATCACTAAAACTCGAGACTAACTGATTAAATAGATGGATGATTGATATGTAACCCAATTTAATTTAAATTGTTATAGTTTTATAATTTGTCATCTTTTAATCCAAAATTTTAAGTTCATTATTTTTTAATTTTACGAAATTATGTCGTTTCTATAAAATTTTGACAGAGAAAATGAGATATAATATAATAAGAGTTATAAATATGTCTTGATCATATTACTCTTTTTTATATAGCTTAATTAACTTGATTATAACTGCTTCGTATAATTTATCTTGCTAAAATTTTGGTTCATATTATAATCATTTTAAATTTGTATTTAGTATTAGTGTTAAGCATTTTTGTTCAGAGAATATACATTTTAAATATTTTTCATAATTACTTTTGTTATTATATTTATTATACAATATAGTTATTTTTAAAGTATAGTGCATATATATATATAATTTTTATGTAAGGGCTAGTATAAATTATTATGTTGCTCAAATAAATGATGTAACCATTATTTATGAAATATAAATAAAATAATCTGTTTAATTATTTGATTTTTATTGATTGAAATTTTGTAGTATCTAAACCTGCAAAAATAATTTTCTAGTTATTTTCTTGGTTTTATAAACTATTTTATTTTTCAATTATTTAATTTATCAAAATAATTTGAAAGAAATGTTTTTAAAAATATTAAAAAATGAGATTTATTTTTTATATTGTGTGGACACATGATTAACTATAGTGTTATTTGGAAACATGAATATTAGTATATAGAAATATATATTAATTATTTAATGTTTTTTAATTATAAAATATAAATGTATATTTAATTTAAAAACTTTAAAAAGAAACGTTACGTCTAAAAATGAGATTCTGTTTTAGTAAGATAGATCTTGTTTGGACACAAAATTAACTATAGTATTGTTTGGAAACATAGATAATATTACAAAGAAATAAATATTAGTGATTTAAGATATGTTTTATTATAAAGTAGAAATATGAATTTAATTTAAAAATTTACAAAAGAAATGTTATGTCCAAAAGTTGGATTATGTTTTAATAAGATCAATGTGTATTTAATTTAAAAACTTACAAAGGAAATGTTATGTCTATGTTTTAATATATGTTTTAATAGTGAGTCAGATTTGGTTTTCATTTTTGTTGTGGATCCCATCATATTCTCTCCACTGACCCAACCTACTCAATCCTTAACATGTTCGTCAATTTTTTGTCTCTAATTATCTATAAATAGAAAAGTCTCATTGGACACAAATCATCATACTCTCTCAACTTCATCTCATTTTTGTATCTCTTTCTCGATCTCTTGCAAACCCCACAAGTTACCTTTTCTCCTTAATCAGCTGTTATGGCGAATTTAGTTCTTAAGAAAACTTTTATCATACTCTTAATCATATTTGCATCACCAATCTTTAGTACTCAGGCTCGAATCCTCCATGATAATCGAGTTGCAAACACGGGCACTATGGATAGTCATGCTCTGCTACGTGAGCTCGGGTTTGATCTCTCCAAGTTCAAAGGTCATAACGACAGGAGATTTTTAGTGAATTCGGACAGGGTTTCACCGGGAGGACCTGACCCGCAACATCATCACTGAGTGGTCGTTACGAATACGTATTATTTACCGGAGGTCCAAGCATAAATAATTGTGACTGATCCATGCAAGTCATTTGAATATCGCTATTTATATGCTTTTCTTTTTCCTTTCTTTTTTTTTCTTTTTCTTTTTTTTCCCCTCATAAATCTTACGTACAATTTTGTTGTATCAAGGTTTTGGTCCTTATCTACGCATCAAACTTTTACTCTGTTATGTTTTCGTGTGTCTCCAATGAGTTACCTTTTATGTAACAGAAATTGGCTTATAAATAATATTCCCGGTCTTTTTCGTTTGTGTTTTACTTTTCATTATGGGGGAAAAGTAAAGGTATAGGCGAGTTTTAAAGTATAGAATTAGCATTTGGAATTTACATATATATGATCAAAATGATTTTTTTTTTGTGATGTGATGTTCACTTAAATTCATAAATTAATAAAGAAAATTGTAAAAACCGGTAAAATCCAATATTTTTGTAAACTTACATGAATGATATGTATTTGTGGTATCCAGGATTCAAGTTATACTCCGAGAAATCATATCTCTTTTCTTTATATCACTTTATAAAAGAACAAGAGCATGCTGTAACCATCGGTGTGTGTGTGCTATTAGCTCGATCCTATTATTTAATGTACAGATTCAAGTTTTACGTACTGGATGCATTCATGGCCTGTTCGTTTAATAGACCCCAGCGTCAGCGGCAGCGGTTTAAATAACAGCTATGATCACGGCAAAAAAACATCTCGGCACAAAAGTGATTTTTTTTATCAGTCGTTACAGCAAGTAATAATCGGCAGATGCGACGCTAAAAATAACAGCGAAGCAGCAACTCTGGTTTTCTAGTCTTTAATCAATCTAACGCGGCTGCACGTAATCTGTAAATTACTTTCACGGTACTTTATTTATTGCTGCTGACGCCAGTTGTTGTCTTTAAAACAAGCAGGCTTATTGTGAAATTTATTAGGAGATTGCATGTTTGCTTAAGAAATGTAGTCATCAACTACAAATTTTATATATGTAAAGTGATTGATATTAAACAAGAGTATAAGACTATGAAAATGTTTTCTGTAGTCTGTACAAAAGGTTCGTTGCACTGTTCAGAAATAGAGCTTCACCGACATAAGCTACAGTAGTGGTAGACATATTGAGAGGTTCAATTGTAAACTATAAGCTTGACAAATTAACATATTCACCAACAAAGAGATTCTTCTCGCCGCGCACGAATGTCTACGTATATGTACAGTTGCATCATTTGAATGTATTTATTAATCAATTTATAATATTCTAGACTTGACATTCTCATATTAGAAACCATAAATATATGAAGTTGATGCTAAACAAAAAAAAAGAATATTAATTTTGATGACATAAATATGACTACAAGAGTGGTAATTAAGTAGATAGATTTGTTGCTTATGTTGAAATGTGAGTATTTAGAGACTGGTTAGTTTGAGAAGAAGGAAGAACAACAAGAATAGAGGAGAGAAGGTAGTATTTTCGTGAGAGAGAGAAGAGAGGAGAGAGAGAGTTACACAAGAGAATTTAATTCTGAGGAAAACTGTTTCCTTGACTTTTTAGGTTGCTTACAACATGTATTTAAAGTCAAATTAGGCTTACAAGGACAGGAAATTTAATATATAAAACTCAACCCACTTGCACCTGCTTTGTCCAGAACCCCCAACGGTCTTCTCCTCTTTAAACCAATTGTAACCTTCTCAAACCAATTGTAACCTTCACCATTCGAATAATTATTCTCCTCTAGTCCTTTTTATTGCTTCATGTTCACACTCCCCCTCAAGCTTGACAATAGATACTATGTTAAGCTTG